CAGATATTGCTCAGATTATCAAGGAAAAGTTCAATCAGGGAGACTTTACGATAAACCTAAAACCTGGTCAATTCAATGGTCTGTGGTCAGACCTTGGCGTTGAATCGACAGTAATTAGGGATACTAACCCCGGCGAAATGAATGTGAATTAATCATGAATATTCAGGTATAATTCATGGGAATTTATGAATTTTTTAATATTGAAGAATAAATATACCTGAACTATTTATGAATATGACTGAAATACAATTTGGAGTCATGAATATTCATGAACTCTATATTCTTGAAATATTCATGATATTCTATTCCTCAATATTCTTGAAATCTATTCCAGGTTTAGCTTCATAGTTCTTGAAATATTCATCAACTGTATATTCATGAAATATTAATCACCTGTATGTTCATGAAATATTACTCAATGAAGAATAAATATACCTGAACTATTCATGAATATGACTGAAATACAATTTGGACTCATGAAATATTCATCAACTCTATATTCTTGAAATATTCATGATATTCTATCCCTTAATATTCTTGAAATCTTCTCCAGGTTTAGCTTCATAGTTCTTGAAATATTCATCAACTGTATATTCATGAAATATTAATCACCTGCATGTTCATGAAATATTACTCAATGAAGAATAAATATACCTGAATGTTCATGAATATGAATGAAATACAATTTGGACTCATGAAATATTCATCAACTCTATATTCATGAAATATTCATCACCCGTATATTCTTGAAATATTCATGATATTCTATCCCTCAATATTCTTGAAATCTTCTCCAGGTTTATCTTCATATTTCTTGAAATAGTCATGACATTATATTCTTCAACATTCTTGAAATCAGCTCCATGTATACGACCTCATATTTTTTGAAATATTCACCAACTGCATATTCATGAAATATTCATAACATAATATTCTCCAACATTCTTGAATAACTCATGAATAATCTCACATGTATGTTCATGAACTATTACATTCATGAACTATTAAATGAAGAATAAATATCCATCACCTGTATATATTCTGTTCCTCAATGTTCTTGAAATCTTCTCCAAGTTTAGCTTCATTTTTCTTGAAATATTCCTCAACTGCATATTCATGAAATATTTATCACCTGTATGTTCATGAAATATTACTCAATGAAAAATATATATACATGAACTATTCATGAATATGACTGAAATACAAATTGGAATCTTGAAATATTCATCAACTCTTTATTCATGAAATATCCATGACATTCTATTCCTCAACAATCTTGAAAACATCTCCATGTGTAGACCTCATATTTCTTGAAATATTCATCAACTGTATATTCATGAAATATTCATGACATTCTGTTCTCCAACATTCTTAAAATCATCTCCATGTATAGACCTCATATTTCATGAAATATTCATCAACTGTAAAGTATCTATTCATGAAATCTTCATCACCTGTATGTTCATGAAATATTACTCAATGAAGAATAAATATACATGAACTATTCATGAATATGACTGAAATACAAATTGGAATCTTGAAATAATTCATCAACTCTATATTCATGAATTATTCACGACATTTTATTCTTCAACATTCTTGAAATATTCAAGAATAAAGATGAATAGAAATCCTGATTATCAGGAGAATTATCTGAAGAATATAGAAGGAGAAATCTTTATGAATCTTTAAGAATATACAAGAATGAATAAAAAAAATAGTAATCAATAAAATGGCTGGTCTCCCTATGAAATCTCTAGATCTTGAAACATCACCCCACAAGGTTGAAATAGCTATCTTAATATAGTTCTAAATGCATGAGAAGTAATGTGTAACCTACATTTTGGCATATGTTTCAGTTTTTCTCTCCCCATATGTCATGGTCATGGATATCTTCCCATTTAACAAAAGAGCTTCAATTTCATGTTTTTCTTAAAGTTATTAAGCATTTTTCCCAATATTCCTCAAATATTCTTCAAACAGGAAGGAAAAAGAAGAATTTCCTAGAATAAATCTGTTAGATAAAACAAAATGGCTGATTTCTATATGAAAACTCCAGATCTTGAGACATCCTCTCTCTAGGTGGAAATAGCTATCTAATTATTGATCTTAACAAGAAGATATGTGTCACATACCTTTTGGCATATGTTCCTGTTTCTCTCTCCACATATTTTTAGGACATTTTCCTTTTAACAAGAGCTTCAATTTCATGTTTTACTAATGTGTTTTCCCGCTTAAAACAATCATTTCCTTTCTGAGGAATTCTGGGATAGGTTATGATTCATTATTCTTCAAATACCCTTCAAATGAGGTGGTGAAAAATATCTAAGAACATATTAGTTCTTCATTATTATTCAAATATCCTTTTAACAAGGATATCCAAAGATGCAAAATCTTCTTTCGTATTCTTCAAATATCCTTCAAATTAGGTGGTGCAAAAGTGAAGAATATCTGAGAGCATATTCGTTCTTCATTATTATTTGAATATTCTTCAACAACATGATGAAAATATCAAGGATTTCCAAGATTTCAAAAAATACAAAAGGTTCTTCATTATTCTTCAAATATTCGTCAAACATTTGGGTGAGGATATGAAGAATATTTAAGAACATAAATATTCTTCAGTATTATTCAAATATCTTTCACACAAGGTTGTGAAAAAAGAATAACTTAAAGAGCAGAGATGTTCTTTATTATTCTTCAAATATCCTTCAAACAAGATGGTGAAAAAATGAAGAATATCTAAGAACAGAATGTGTTCTTCATGATTATCCAAATGTTCTTCATTCAGTGTGGTGAAATTATAAAGACTTTTCAAGAACATAAAATTTTCTTTATTCTTCTTCAATTATTCAGCATAGAAATTGAAGAATATTCAGGAACATAAATTATTCTTTGTTATTCTTCAAAAATACAAGAATATGGTTAAATCTTTATTCTTCACAATTCATATCGATATTACAATATTTATCACACCTGAATATTCATGAATAATTCATG